CCGTATGGTGTATTGGTTGACGTGTCGAGATTACACGCTGCACTATCAGCTCGGTTCGAGCTGGGGGTGTTGTTGATGGGACAGAAGCAGAGTAAAAACTACAGTTCAATCGAGCCCTAGTAGGACTACTCTTTGGGCAGCAAGGCAATATGGAATTGACTGGAATCACGAGGCCTGTCCACATGATTGTGGTAAAACTGAACTACCAGTCTTTCATCACCTTAAATAAAATAAGCTGAATACCGCTCTTATGTAAGATCTACGTGTAATCTCAAAAGCCTACTTATAAACGGAAAATTAGTCTTGCGCATCATCTCCTAGACGAGATGATGTGACGAAGGAGTTCTGTTGAGTTGAGAAGAGCAAAGATGGAATGGGTTGTATGTAGACTGCAATCACTTTGTTGGGGCAGTGTGGACGTACATGGGGAGGATAGTAACTTCTTTTAGTTACGTATCTGATGCCTCATCTTTTCGAGGGGAGCTAATCATTCTAATCGAGTAGAGCGTTCGATTCAGGCCACTCGAGGATCTGCCTAAGGCATCGGCAGCAGGAGAGCTGCATAATCCAATATCTTCGCTCAAGTCGATTGTGGCGCCGGGTGGTGTGACAGGACATGAGAGTTGTGTCCCAGGAAATGCCAACAGTTGCGTGTGACAAGAAACGCGAAGACCCGAAACCGACAAACTGGTCCTTGCGAAGTGTTCTTCAGAGTCAGCCCAGTCCTTGACTTTTCACCGAACCAATAACTGTATAGGGTTCGCGATCATTAATTCATTTTGCTAACCTTTATTAGCTATTAATCTTATCTCAACTGTCCATCTACAGTGCATTTCGTGCCGATAAGATGATAGACACCCGTGCCATGGGAAGAGGTGGACCGGAGAGATTCGCAACTTGGACTCACTGAAAGCGCACGAACCATTGCTTTAGTTAAAGAGATCGGAAATAGTGTCTTCTGGCAGAACAGGGAGTTGGCCGAGATGACTGATTTCATAATGTAGTCTTCCCATCAGGCGAACTACGGAGGAAGTCGGACGCTGGGATCATGTATTTGCAAGGACAAACATTATATTTGGTTATACTTCCTTTGTGTGAATTTTCAGCACATCTCAAAGCTTGGCTGTTATAAGGTTTTGTGCTCATTTGATAGCGCAGTCGATTCATCCAGTAAAAACTATATTAGCAATAAACCGCGCACAAAGGTTTTTGGGTCCATGAGGAGGAAGCAGGTGAACATGTAGCCAATACAGGAGACCGTATAGAATGGTCCAAAATAAAGACTGACAAGGCATGAAGTTATGAAGAAAAACCGGGTTTCTAAGGGTTCTTTAGTGATATATTGTGACATGACTTTCCATGTTTAAGGAAAAGTTGGTTGTAAGGAATTCATGATTTGGTCTCATTGGAAACCGAATGAGGATTTATTCGACCTCATTTTCGCAGTTTGGTCATATTGGCAGAAAGACGTAATGGTGCGGTACTTCTCCGGAGTCCATGTTATGCATCGTGATTTCCAGAGTTGGACCGTCGATTTGGTACAACTCATTTGAGAGCATGCAGAGTAAGTTTGCAAGTAGGCAACCAAGTCATCTTATGCC